CCCCCCTCCCCCAGTTATACTATTACCCCACTCTGTTCCAGGTAACTATATTATGGATGCCGTCGTGCCGAATCACTGTAAGCTTAGACAACTGAACATCAGTAACTAGCCGACCACATTGAACAAAAATAATATTATTGTCTATTCACCATACCAACCACCGTCCTCAACAGACCCACCTTCAGTCAAACCCACCAAAACCTACAACATCGATCGCCGTGCAAAGGGTGATAAATCATGACTTATCAACAACTGTGCCCAATCATCGCCCCTGGCGGCATCATTACTGCCCTTCTTCGCTCCCCGAACTCTCCGCGGTAGAGGTGGGTAAAATCCGGACCACCTACCCGGATAACCAGATAATTCTCAATGATAGATTATCCGAACGACCCTTATCCGAATTCAGACTCTAAACTCTCTTTCTTGACCCGTTTGCCAAAGTGAGTGCACTCATTTGTTGAAGAGATGCTAATCCGTTCGTCGAAGTGATTCTAACTCATTTGCCGAAGTGGTTCATAATATGGTCGCTTTGAAGGACAAACGGACTAACTCAGATTTCGGGGGGGAGGGGGGTCCAGAAATCTTGACCTACACAAAGGAGGTTATGCAGTACAGACCTACACCAAAATTGGGCATTGTCCTACCTATAGGAAAAGTTTGGTTTCATTGGTTTGTATATTATATTTGTTTGGTTATAGAGAATATCATCTTTGTCTTTTAAAGAAACTGAACAAGGATCCAAAAACTTTACCATCGATTTTCTCAAAACAGCATTTTTCGGGATAGCCCCCTAGTGCTAAAAACAGACCATATAATATTATTTGCCGAAGAGGTGCACTAATATAATATTATCCGGATTTGGTAAAGCGTCTCACTGCCCAGCCCTACTCCACGGTTGCCCTAGGTATCCCATAAGACGACTCGTGCTTATCGCTGTCCGCACTCACTCGGACATAGGTCAGGCCTGGCCCATGGCGCCACCAGAAGGCAACACCTGCGGCCGCGGCACGCCCAAGATGCCAGAGTGTGAGGGAAAACAAGCAAGGAGCCATTAGAAACCTTGAAACGAAAAGGGGGGCTCCTTCTACTGTAATTCATCTGTTGTTATCCCGAAGCACATTGCAAACAGACTGGCAGTCGTCCTTTCAACTTAGAAGACGGTATCTACTGTAATTTATCTGTTATTCTGGCGCATCATGCAAAAGAACGGACTCATTTTACAGATTGACTATCTACATTTGAAAAAAATAAAAGCGTGATCAACCTTAAAACTAAGAGCATTTCTATAGTAATTAAGCTGTCATTCTGGACCACATGGCATCAAAGAACGACTCATTTCAAGGATTCGGATTGACGATGTACTTTTAGGGTGAGCATGTGGGAGCAAAAGGGAGCACCTTTGATTTGTTCGTGACTGTCTCACATAGCAGAGAAGAGACGTATGGGTCCAGAGTTTTGAAAACTCCAAAGATTAGGGTGGGGGAAAGTAGAGCTTACTTGAGGAACATAGACCAATGTGTCCTCAGAATTAAACAA